AAGGAGACTGAGGGAAACAAAGAAGCTGATTCCTGGCTTTTTCAGCTTGGGTAATTATGTAGATGATAGAGGAAATAACGTGTTCAGTCCTGGTCATGTTAAATGTGAAATATCTACCTCTGGCACCACCTAGGGGAGTTGGCACTAAGTAGCTCAATATATGGTCTGGAGCTTAGGAGACAGGTTCAGGAATACTCATATATTCATACATGAATAGTTGGTTGAAACAACAAGAAATATAAGCCTGCCTATTAGGAATATATAGAATGTGAAGGAACAAAGGAAAAAAAGAAACTTTTAAAAGTACTGATGTGTCATGGAGGTAAGTAGAGAACCAGGGCAGTAGAATACCAGAGATTTCTAGAATTAGCCATAGGTTGGTATAAAAGACCCAGAGAGGTCGAAAAAATACTGATGGGTAACCAGAAGGCCTTTGGGTGACTTAAGAACTGTTTTAGTGGAGCAATGAGTGCATGGTAGAAATGCATTTTCCAGGAAGCCTGGCTATGAAGGGAAGGAGAAAGGAAGAAAGGATGAAAGAAAGAAAAAAAAAAAGCAAAGAAAAGGAGCAGCTCTCAAACTATGTACCCTTTACACGCTTAAAAATTGCTGTGGACTCCAAAGAGCTTTTGTTTATGTTGGTTATATTGCCAATATTTACCATATTAGAAACTGACACTGAGAAATTGAAAAATTACTTATTCATTAATTCATTTTAAATAATAATAAATGTACTACATGTTAGCATACATATTTTAATAAAAACTATATTTCCCCCAAAAATATGAGTGAATTTTTTTTACAGTTTTGCAAATCTCTTTAATTTTTAGCTTAATAGAAGACAGCTGGATTCTAATATCTGCTTCTGCATTCAGTCTGCGGCAATATATCATTTGGGTTAATGTATATGAAGGAAGTCCAGGTTCACACAGACATACAGTTGGAAAGGGAGCAGTATTTTAGCAGCCATTTCACAAAGCAGTATTTTTCTTTGATGCTATACTAAAACTTGATAAGTGACAATTTCCTGAAAGTTAGCTGCCGTGTGGAATCTGAAACCATATCAATGAACTTTGTCACATTAAAATCCATTGCACTCTGAATGAATCTTTTACCCATACATGATTTCGACCTTACGAACCTCTTGAAAGAGACTCAGAGACCCCAACCACCCTCTGGGAACTGCTGGTTTAAGGTTTAAGACAAAACTTGGTTGAAGATATGAAATGGATAGTAAACAGAGATGAAGGGGTCAACCCTGAATAGAAGAAAACCTCTTCTGAATCTAACAGGAGGGAAGCAGAGGTTTGGATACAGATATATTTGAAGCAAGAGGGAGAAGTCCTATACAATGTTATTTTCTCTGTGAAGCAGGAGGTGAGGTCATCCAGGGCTAGGTTAAGAATCGCTCAAGCACCTTGAGGACCACCTGGTAAATGCCTACTATTCCTTCGAGCTCAACACAAAAGGCACTATTGGCTTTTCCTGACAGTCATCTCTTTTGCTCCAAACTGTCACCTGGTTATTCTTCTAGTATAACAATTATCATATTTTATTATTTATTGGTCTGCCTTCTCTCCTAGATGGTGTGCTCTCCTGGGCAGGGACCCAACCAAATTCAGCTTTAGCAGCTACTCAGAATATTTGTGCTGAATGCCAGAAGGCTGATTTTTTAAATTAAGAAATCACATCTGCCTATAGATTTTACAGTTGCTACATTCACACTACTTTTTCCTATTTACTTATATTTCTCTCCATTGTTAAGAAGTACAATGTGATTGACAAAGCTAGTAAAGGTAGAACTGCTTAGTAATCCTAAAAGCTAGAGCTAAAATACAAAGAATTGAGAATAAAAGCAGTCTATCTGAAGACCAGGGATAAATTCTGTAACTCTCCTGCATCCAGATTTCTAACAAAGGTGATAGCGTAGGGATGCCAGAAAAGGAAGGCCTTCTAACAACTCCTCCTTATATTTAAGTCTGGAAGTTCTAAACTTCAGAATTTAAAATGTTACTTAAAACATACATCCATCTATCACCACCAACACGTTTGGAAGAACATACACCAAAATATTAACCGTGGTTAACTCTTGATGGTGATTTATATGGTGGTTTTGTTTTCATTTACTTTTCTGCATTTTCTATAATGAAAATAAATGATATGTGCAGAAAAAATTAAAAAGTGTCACCTCTTTCAAAGTATTCAAGATTTTACTGTAGTACATTTAGGATTAATAGAAGTGGAACAGGATATACTGCTTACAAATAAATAAATATATTCATGATTATTTTCTCATACCATTAATCCTCATGGTAAAGAAAAACCACTCATATATTCACACTAGACAACTCAGCCAAGAATACGAGGTAAGGTGATCATTGAGAAATAATACTAAAACGAGTATCTGCTTGTGGAACCCAGTGCCTTCCCACCTGCATGCACATTCTCTAACAAAGTACAGTTCAAAATAGAAATTCAAAATATTCATATGAAATGCATTAATAAAGTTTTAAGGTTGTGCTTCACTAACAGTCTGATCAGAGGAAGAGAGTGTAGAGGGGTGGATGGAAGATGGACTTTGAGGTTGCCTGGGTCTGGGTTCTAATGTAGCTCTTCCACAAGCCAACTGTGACCAGGGTCAGTAACTCAGTTTCTCTGGACTTTGGTTTCTTCATCTGAAAAACAGAGATGGTCTTACCTAAGAGTTGCTGTATAGATTTTAAATTAACAAATGCCTAATCCTATCAATAATAAGTGATCAAAGAAAATGTAGCAATGACTATTGTATGGCAGAAGTTATTCTTATGTCACATTTTAAAAAAAAAGAAATGTGCAGAATTGTATTTAAGCTCAATTTTCAGAATAGCAGTGAAGGACAACTGAAAGAATGGAACTAATAGGTCTGAGAACATAGCTAAGCTTTTCATGGTGAGTGTTATTTTATCAAGCATAGTATCTTTAAAATGCTTATAACCTTCCTAAAATACATCACCTACGCATGCTTTCTTAAGCAAAATATTCTAGATATTTTTGGACAACTCAATATCATCATTAAGAACAAAAGCTCATGATACCTTCTAGACCTAATAAATTATATAGGGCTGCCCTTCTTAAATAGGATATGTGCTGGTATTCCATAAATTAAACATCACATACCATTCTCAAACATTGATTTATCTCAACAGTAAGTATTTAAACATTTTGGATATATTTTTTAAAAGCCAAAATATTATACATTCATCAAATATTTACTGAGTCTCTATTTTGTGCTGGATATTGATCCAGGTCCCTGGAGATAAAGCATAAGTTAAGTAAGAAAAAAAAAAAACTGAATTCATGGAGCTTATATTCTAATAGAGAAAGACAGGTAATAAGCATTTGCTTTATAGTGCATTAGATGGTGCCAAGTGGAATGGAAATAAATAAACTGAGAAAGGGTTTTAATTTTAAATAGGGTAGTCAAAGTAGCCCTCAATAAGAAGGTGCCGTTTGATTAAAGGTTTGAAGGAATGAGAAAGCTAGCCACTGGGATATCTGTGGGAAAGGTTTCTGGGCAAAAGAAATCGTAAATGCAAGGGTCTGGAGTGGGTCCACTGAAAAACAGCAAGGAGACAGTAAGACTGGAGAAGAGGGGGCAGGAAAGTAGAATAGATGAGAGAGGTAATGGGGCCAGGTCTCCTCGGGCCCTCATAGCCTTTGGATTGACTTTATCTTCTGAGGGAGATGAAAAGACAGTGGAGGTTTTGAGAAGTGGAGAGACACACTCTCTACTCATGTCTTAAAAGGACACCGGGGACTGCTGCTGAGAATAAAGGATATTAAAGTAAGGGCAGAGAAGCAGGAAGAGACCAATTAGTTCAGTACATCAATAATCCAGATGGAGGTGCTGGAGGCTTGGATCGGAGAGGTAGCAAAGAAGGTAGAAGTCCTAGGATGATGGATATTTTCTGAGGTAAAGCACACAGGATCCTGTGTGCTGATGTGAAGGGTGAGAAGATGGCACCTTTACTGAGATGGAGAAGCCTATGACAGGAGCGAGTTTAGCCTGGAAGCTCAGGAGCTCTGTTTGGACAGGTCGGAAGCAAACTTCAAATGAATGTTTAGTGTGCAAACAGAAGAATTAAGGAAATCTGAACTTTCTGACATATCTCTTCAAGGATTACCCCCAGAAAGGGAAAGGGCAATTCTTAATATTCTCCGCTTAGGGCTCCTTGGGCAGACACGTTTTTGAGGCACTAAGAGAGCCATTTGTTCCCATTCTAAATGGCTAAAATGCTTTCTGAGGTCTGCTTTTCATCCCTTCGTTCCCTCTCTTGTTTCCAGGCTGTCTGTACACTTTTCCTATCTGATAAGATACTGACAACCCCGCTCCACTTTCCAAGTTCCTGGAAGCCTGACGGAGAATCTTGGGGGGGCTTCGGAATGCTTTCCACGCGGCGAGCATCTCCGCCGGGTGCTGGTCTTACTTCCTGGTTCTCAGGAAAAGATATTTCATTTCGTAAACGGGTTCTCGGAACACACCGCCCGGGAGTTGAGAAATTCCAGGCGCGGTCTGACCGAGCCACCAGGTGACGTCTCTTCTTGCCCCACGGTCCTCCACAGGTACAACTAACTTTCTGATCCCCAGGGACCCACCCACGTCTTCATCCTGGAGCAACTGCTGCCCACGCAACCTACTTCCTCTCTACCTTTTCTCACTTGGGCTGAAGATAGGCGATTTTCCTTCCGAACCGTCCCTCCACAACCCTGGGGCAGAGGGGCCGAGGCCGGGACGCGGACCTCGGACACTTCGCGGAGAAGGTGGCGCGCACGGCCGGAATCCCTTACCTGCCCAGGCGCGGGGAGCGGGGGGCGGGCGGGGCGCCGCGGGGCTGAGCCAGCGGTCGAGGAACCCGGGCCCTAGGGACGGCTGGGGCAGGCTCAACCCGTCAGGCCCCGCCCAGGCCCGCCCCGTCCCCACCCCCGTCCCGCCCTCTTCCTCTTTGTGCCTCTAGGCGGCTCCACAGCGTGAGAAATTCCGGGCCTCTTTTAAGGCTCTTCTTTAAGTGGGAGTCTGGCCCTTTAAATAGTCCGTGTCGGAGGCTATTTTAAGGCTTCCGGTCATGCGCACAGCGTAGTGCAGAGGAATGCCTTCACCTGGACATGAGGTAGGCCGGGTTGAGTTTCTTGCGCCAAGTGGGGCTTGTGTATGGGTCAATGACAAGATAGGCATTGGGACCCTGCCCCTTTGTCCCCAACAGGAGGGCGACCTGAGCTAGTATCGCGCCTTGGGGTAGGCGGGGCTGGGGGAGGAGAAGAAGCCGGTGGAGCTGCTGGCTGTGTCCGGGGTACTTTTCAATGCGCCTGAAGGCTACGCAGCAGGGGACGTTAGTGCTGCTGGTTGGTGGCAGAAGTAGGAAGTAGGAGTGAGTTAGGCGGAGCAACGGCAGTGGAAGGAACTGGAGGCGCTACTGGCCTTTTTTTAAACACCCTCCCAGACTCTGCCCTTAGCCAGCACTTCCCCAGCTTCAGGTCAGCCAGACTACCCCCTTTCTGCCCCGCAAGCTCTTCAACGTATCTGTTGCCTGGGAACACTGCACGTGTGTGCTTAACTCCACGTGGGTTCCTTGGCGGCCTTTCAGCACGGTTCCACTCTTACTGAGATGCTTGGTTGTAATAATTCCCTCATCATTGTATTCTCCTCAGGTTGTTCTACCTATGCCACTAGCTTAGAATGTCTTCATATCTTCTTCCTTTTACTGGGTAAAGAGTAGGTCATTTTTCTTTCCAAGACCAATCCAGCAGCTGAGCTTTTGATCACGTCTCATTGCTTTCCAACTCTTCAAACTCTTCATCAGATTCATCCTGTGCAGTGCTATCAGTCATCTTACTAAAACATCTTTTTGGATTGTGTCATTTTCCTATTCAAACACCTCCAGTGGCCATCCATTGACCACTCAGTGGATTCTAAGTCCCTGAGAAGGTGTTCAGTATCTTACCTTGTTCGGCACTAATCCAGCTGTATTTTCCAGAACTGTACTAGAAAACACTTTCTCCTACTGCTCTGTATCTGGGCTCTTCAGTTTTCTCTAACACATTGCATATGTTGTTTGTGCATCACTTATGATAGTCTTTGACTCATTTCTGCCTCCTGAACTGTTTTGAAGACTTGGCCACTTCTTGCGTATGCCTTTACTGATTATTCTAGACAAAAGTGATTTTTTTCTTTCTTCCTTTTCACTCTTACAGCTCTTTATTTGTACTAGCTGTTTCGTTTATTCAACAGTCAGTATTGATTATGTGCCTATTATGTGCTTGACACTGTTCTAATTGTGAGATAATCAGTGAATAAGGCTGACAGGGTTCTTGTTCTCATGGAGCAAACATTCTAGTTGGGGGAGGTATACAATAAATAGTGAAGAAAATTATTAGACAGAAATGCTATGCAGAAAATTAAATAGGATTTTGTGAAAAATAGTGGCTTGCTGGTTCCCCTGGATTACTGGTCAAGGAAGACCTCTTTGAGGATGTTATTGAGGAAGTACTGATTTAATCAACAGGAACAGTTGGCAGAAAGGAACTGAAGAAGGCCAGTGAAGCTGGAGTATAGTGGATAATGGGAAAAAGGTACAAGATAAATTTGGAGAATAGACAGAGTCCAGGATCTTAGAAGTCTTCGGAAGCCAGGGTAAGTAATTTGGATTTTATTATAAATGTGATTAGAGGGTTTAAAAAGGGGTTGTGATATGATTTAATTTACCTTTTAAATCATCATTCTGGCTACTCTGTGGAGAGCAGACTATAGTGGACTAGTAATAGAAGCAGAGATTAGAGACCTTCACAGTGTATAAGAATTTCTGGAATGGAAGTCCTAAAGTAGAGGTGACAAAAGGACAGCAGGAATAATCAGAGAGCCGGATGCTTAAAGGTGATGCAACTTTTGGTGATGAGAAAGTCAAAGCTATGACCGAGATGAAGTGGAAGTGGTGTGAGGTTGAGATTGAGGAACTGAGGGACTGTGATGTTAAATGGATGATCCATATGGATGGTCATGGAGGTCATGCTGGATAGTAGATTTTAAGCCTGGTATTAAAGTCATCAGTGAATGAAGAAGAATTGTGCTGGGACCAGAGAGAGTATGGCAGCAAATAGTAGAGCCTGATGGCATGAACTTCAAAGGAAATGGGATTTGGGGAGGTAGAGGAGGAAGAAATGGTTTGGAAGTAGCAGTGGCAAACATAGAAAATATTTACAACCTCCAGATCCCAAGGTGGGTATGAAAGGAAAAATAGCCTTCACATGAGAGGGCTACAGAAGAAGCAGCTTGGGGAAAATAGCCAGGTTTCATTAGGGCAAGAAACTGGGGAGACTGTGCAGGAAATAAAGGAATGAGGGAAAATAAATATATCCTATATATTTCCTAGGAATTTAGGATATAGAGAATTTGCTGTGATTTCTACATGACATATTAGAAAGGATGGTGTGGAGGTGGTTTTCTAAATTGGTTCAGATTAGTAGAATACACTGTAGAAATGGGGTGAAGGTCCAGATGATGAATTTCCTGGAGAGTGTGGTTAACACAAAGAACGGAGTAGTACTGGTCCCCTGAGCATTTTATTTTTCCTGAATCTCCATCTGGTAGCCATGGGTTGTGTGAAGAATGAGTGAAGTTGGCATCAAGAAGGTTTGTAAAGGTTTTTTTCTCTCTAATGCCAGAGAGAGATGGTTGGAATTTTTCTTTGGGTTAGCCGCAAAAGTTTGTATCTGTAAAAGTTTGTTTCTGGCTGTCAAGAAGGTTTAAGGTCCAGGGTTAATTTAAGCCTACCTAGAAACCTAATCACATTGCAAGTTGGTTTTAGAATTTCATTTATCTATCAATTTGGACTATTTCTTCCTGTCTTCTCCTCATCCCTTCTTCCATCCCTATCTCTTCATATATAAATATCTAGCTACAGATTCTCTGGAATTAGCTGGAAATTTTAGTTTTCAGGGATGGAGTTCAGACAAATCATTGTAAACAGGTGTATGTTCTAGTCTCTTCTTTGTAAGCTTACAGATGGTATTTTAAAAGTGAACTTGAAACTTAACCCATTTTAATCCTGGAATTTTAATAGATGGAAGCCTGGAGTAGGTGAAGAGTCAAGGTGCAAATCACCAGATATCTCGGTATAAGACAGTCAAAATACACATGATATATAGAAATAAATTAGATTAGTAATGTCTTTTAAGGGGACTCCGGATTGGAAGGGAGAGGGAGAAGGAGAATTAAATAAATCTTTCAAACCTATTTCTTTTTTTGTTATCCAGAATTTTTCTTTCTGGTAATTGACCACCTCTTTGTTTCTTTTATAGGCATTGTTATTTGAGAATGGAAGAGGATACAGATTTTAGAATCAGGTTTAGTTCTCTGTGTTTCATTACAGATCACGTTGGATTTCATGGCACCATAAAAAGCTCACCAAGTGACTTTGTTGTTATTGAGATTGATGAACAGGGACAGTTAGTTAATAAAGCCAGTGATGAACCTATTTACAAGGTTAATAAAATACTACCTGGGCCAAATAATTTGGCTAAAAAAACAAACTTAGATCCTCAAAATTTATCCTTTGAAGAGAGAAGCAATCAAGAAGTCAATACTTTGGCTGGGTGCTCTGGTGATGACCAAAATTATGAGCCTGGTTCAGAAAAGGAAGATACTATCGAAGATGGAACTTCCAAAGGTGAAGAAGAAAACATTGATGTATTAGGATCCTTGTTAGATGAAAAAACTAATGAATTACTGAATCAGTTTGCCTGTGATGTAAAAGAGAAGTGGAATTCTAAAACTGAACTAATTGGACCATCTTCTGAATTCTCATTAGGCAGAATCCTTGACAAAAACCAGAGGGCTATTTTGCATAGTGCTATTAGGCAGAAATTTCCTTTTTTAATAACTGTAGGAAAAAACAGTGAAATTGTTGTAAAACCAAATCTTGAGTATAAAGAACTCTGTCACTTGGTATCTGAAGAAGAAGCATTTGACTTTTTTAAATATTTGGATGCAAAGAAAGAAAATTCCAAATTTACCTTTAAACCTAATATAAACAAAGATCACCGAAAGGCTGTCCACCATTTTATCAACAAAAAGTTTGGAAATCTTGTGGAAACCAAATCTTTTCCTGAACCGAATTATAGTGCTGATAATCCAAAGGTAGTGATAACAGTAAGATTTCGGGAAAAGGCACACAAGCACAGGAAAAGATCTCTTCATGAATGCCAGGAAAGAAAAGTTGTATACACAGGTAATTTAATACATCATTATTATTTTCTTAGATAAATTAAAGTTGCGTGAAAGCTGAATAATTTCAAATGAATTAAATAGCCTTGTCCAGAGAGATATTGGAAACAATATATGGGTCCTGTTTTTTAATGGAAGGGAAAGTCTTTCAAAATACACTGGTTGTAAAAATTAACCTTAGTGGGGCTTCCCTGGTGGCCCAGTGGTTGAGAGTCAGCCTGCCGACGCAGGGGACACGGGTTCATGCCCCGGTCTGGGAAGATCCCACATGCCATGGAGCGGCTAGGCCCGTGAGCCATGGCCGCTGAGCCTGCGCATCCGGAGCCTGTGCTCCGCGACGGGAGAGGCCACAACAGTGAGAGGCCCGTGTACCGCAAAAAAAAAAAAAAACTAACCTTATTGATGAAAGTGTCGTTAACACAGATACTTATAGTTAACGTAGTCACAAATGTATAAAGTTGAAGCAGTTACTTTGCATTGAAGTAAGTGTTATGGGGATGAATCTTGATTTCATATTTTGAGAGTTATCTTAATTAAAATTAAGTATTTGGAGAGAAGTAGAATATGTTTGCTGTGCTTGGGGAAGTGAAGAGAATACCTTGTAATCTAAAACAGCTGGACTTAACTGCCCAAGGTAGGGAACCTGCAAACTTACTTCCTTTGGCTGTCAGTCATTTAGAGAAGAGATTCTCAGATTTTAGCATGCATTATAATCACCAAAAGGGCTTGTTGAGAGAGATCTCTGAGCCCTATTCTCAGATTTTCTGATTTAGAATGTTTGGGGTAGGTCTTTCACAAATTCCTAGGTGATCCTTTTTCTGCTGGTCTGGGGACCACATTTTGAGAATCACTGTCTTAGGGAATATATTCACTTTCTAGGATGGAGTGGAACTGATGAAATCTCACTCTGCAAGTTTGGCTGATCAGGTTTAATTGGCCTGTATCCTACGTGAAGGATGGCAAGTGTTTCAGATGGTCCTGTTTTATAAGTAAACAGCACAGCATTTAAAATATAAACAGCAACTCAGATTTGCACAAATGTGTGTATCTGGCACAGAAACAAGGTTGTACTATGTAGGGAACTCTGTGATGTAAGTGAAAAGAGTTTGGACCTTGGAGCTATGTGGGTTTTATTTTACGTTATGACTTTAGTTCATAAAAAGATCTATGAACTTTTTAATATCTTTAGGACTTAGTTTCCATAAATGTAAAACTGGAAAGAATAATACCATGGGCAAGTTACTTAACAATTCATAACTTTTGGTTGTACTTTAAAAATGGGGTAGTAGTAAAGCCTAATTCACAATGATACTCTAAGGATTAGATGAAATAATGAATGCAAATGTTTAGTATGTAATCGTTTTTCAAATGTTGGTGTCTTCTGTCTTGGAAATTTGTCCAGTTGTATGACTTACCTTTTCATGAAAAAGCTGCTAGTATAGGAGTTGACACGTGAGGCATGCAATAAATGTTAACAGATAAATCTGCTTTGAAGGAAAAACAAAACTAGTTTTACACGTGGGGAGAGAATTGCTGATCAGTGTTTTAAGCAGGTGTAGATTTTGTACGACTTGAAATTCTAACAGTATTTGAATTAATGAACCAAAAAATTGTGGAAACTTTTATATATTAGTTTAAATTAGTTTTACCAAAACTATGAATAATTGGAGAGACATGTTCAAGAGAGGAATTGATGGTTCACCAGAAGATAGTATGAAGATACTGGGATACCTATAAGTACAAGAACAAAGAAAAAGACAAAGATAAACTTTGCTTATCCCAGATTTTGCTTAGGCCAGCCTTTTGTAAGAACAAAAATAGTTCATATAAAAAAATTCCTTAATAAGTAGACCTACCTAAAAAATAGAACACTTAAAAAAACCTTTTATTTTTAATTGTTATAAAATATACATAACATAAACTTTACCATTTTAACCATGTTTAATGGCATTAAGTACATTCATGTTGTTGTACAACTATCACTGCCATCCATCTCCAGACTCTTTTCATCTCCTCAGACTGAAACTCTATGTCTGTTAGACAATAACTCTCTATTCCCTTCTCCCCTAGCCTCTCCTCTAGGTATCTCATATAAGTGGAATCATACAACTTTTGTCCTTTTGTGATTGGCTTATTTCACTTAGCTTATGGTTTTTTAAGGTTTACTTGTGTGTGTGTGTTAGAATTTCTTTACTGTGTTAGAATTTCTTTACTTTTTAAGGCTGAATAATATTCTGTTGTATGTATGCATACATCTTGTTATTTTGTTTATCCATTCATCTGCCAGTGGACACAGTTGCTTCCATCTTTTGGCTATCGTGAATAATGCGGCTATGAACATGGCTATATTGGTTTAAGTTCCTGTTTTCAGTTCTTTTGGGTATATACCCAAAAATGGAATTGCTGGATAATAAGGTAATTCTATGTTTAATTTTTTGAGGTAGTGGTATACTGTTTTCTTAGACACTTTTTTGAAGAAGGAATTGTATGAAATATTTAAGCGTCCAATGACATTTTCATTTTAGGTATTGCATTTATCAGCTCTAGAAGTTTTATTTGGTTCTTTCTTAGGTCCTCAATTTCCTGTTACGTTCATGTTTTCCTATAATCTTTGAGCCTTTTTATTTTTTTAAGTTTTTAAATTTATTTTTGTCTGCGTTGAGTCTTTGTCGCTGTGCACGAGCTTTCTCTAGTTGCTGCGAGCGGGGGCTACTCTTCCTTGCAGTGGGTGGGCTTCTTATTGTGGTGGCTTCTCTTGTGGAGCATGGGCTCTAGGCACATGGGCTTCAGTAGTTGTGGCACGTGGGCTCAGTAGTTGTGGCTCACGGGCTCTAGAGCGCAGTTTGAGCCTATTTTTAATGGGTCTTTAAAAATATTTGTCTGCTAATTTCATCTCTGTTGTTTCTGGGTCTGTTTCTATTGACTGACTTTTATTTGGTTCATGGGTCATATTTTCCTGCTTCTTTGCATGTCCAGTACTATTTTTTGGAGGTCAGACATCGTGAGTGTTATCTTGTTGAGTGTCTGGATTTTGTTGTCTTGTTTTAGAGAGTGTTGAACATGCTCTAGCAGGTAGGAAGTAGTTTGCAGATCCATCTGAGGCTTCATCTTGAATTTTATTAATGGAGGTCCAGAGTAGGGTTTACGCTAGTCCTGTCATATAGCTCTACTATGTATTTAAGGAGCCTATCCACACTGGACCTGATAGAGATGAAAACTACTAGAATTTGAGCTGATGTTTTAATGGGATGAGTCTTTGGGGCATTGGGAAAGAACGAGTATATTTTGAATGGGGGTGGGACATAAAGTATTAGAGCCAGAAGGTAGATTCTCAGTATCTGAGAAGACTCTCAGTGGCTGGTGTGACGAATGGAACATGACAGAAGTGACGGTGTGTAATGTCTAAGGCTAGGTCATAAAAGGTATTGCACTTTTTGCGCACAGTTCTTGGATGGCTCACTTTGGGGTAAGCTAGCTACCAGACTTTAGGGCTATTAAAGCAGCTCTTTGGAGAGGAACTGAGGCCTTCCGCTAATAGCCAGTACCAACTTGCCAGCCATGTGAGTGAGTGATCCCCTTGGAAACGGATCCTCCAACTCCTGTCAGGAGTTTTGAGTAACTGCAGCCCTAGCCACATTGTGCTGCAACCTCCTGAGAGAGCCTGAGCTAGAACCCACCAAACCACGGTGCTCTTGAATTCCTGCTCCAGAGAAGTTCTGAGAGATAAGTGAACATTGTAAGCCAGTAGGGTTTGGGGCAACTTGTTACACAACACTAGATAAATGATATGTAACATTTAATGCTAGGCATGCAGATTACTACTCAGCAAGGAACTCGAGGGGTCACCTATGCAGATTTCTGGAACACGTTCTCTTACTCTGCACTATGAATTCCAGCCCACTGGGCCTTCTTGAACTCCAGCCTCAGCAAGACCACTGTGCTCTACTTGGATTCCTCCTCCCTGGCCCAGAAAGTACCCCTAGTTAGAAAACCATGTGTTTTTTTTTGTTTTTTTTTTTGCGGTACGCGGCCTCTCACTGTTGTGGCCTCTCCTGTTGCGGAGCACAGGCTCCGGACGCGCAGACTCAGCAGCCATGGCTCACGGGCCCAGCCGCTCCGCGGCATGTGGGATCCTCCCGGACCGGCGCACTAACCCGTGTCCCCTGCATCGGCAGGCGGACTCTCAACCACTGCGCCACCAGGGAAGCCCAAAACCATGGTATTTTAAGACTCACCTCGTTTGTTTTGCGTTTCCTTTTGGATCACAGTTCTGTGATGCCTTTAGTCCGGGGTCCAAAGACAGGTGTTTCATATGTTTTGTCTAGTTTTCTGTTTGTTTACAGTGGGAGTTCAAGGTTGGTACCAATTATTCCAACATGGTGCTAGAAGTGGAAGTCTCTAAAATTGAATTTTAAAATTTAGCATAGTTGATTTTCTTTTCCAATACTTCATTTATTCCAAGTAATTAAGAAAATGTTATAAATCTTATAAATTCAACATAAATTTGGTGATGTTTACATTTTCTTATATGCGCCAATATTATTTACTAACTTAATGAGATTTCAGTGTAAGAAAGACAAGTTTAAATCAATTAGATATTTTTAATTGGAATTACTTGAGTTTCATTACCTTAAGCATTCCAAGTGCATAAGACATTCATTAACACAAATACTAAAAACCGTGAATTTGATCGTCTTAAATATTTCTATTCTAAATTCTGTATCTTCATGGATAAAATATACCTATGCACTAAGGCTAATCAGCAGCAAACTGATACAATCTCAAACAATTTGGAGGCTCCTTAGATGGCTGAGCTTGCCTAATGACCTGTGAGTGACATGCCTAGATTGTCAGGGACAGATCTGACACATTGAACTCTCGTTATCAAACACATGTACTTTAAAACTTTAAGTGTTGCTCTCCTAGCCTTCTTACTTTATATAATACACTTTCTTGGTCTGTTTTTCACAGTTTGTACCTCCTAGCCAGGCTGCCGCAACACTTTTAAGATATTTTAGTGGTGTCTAATTCCGTAGATTTGGTATATTTGAAAGACTACTATATTTTTTCACATTATTACTAATTGATTCTCAAATGTTTGGTTCCAGGACTAGTATAGCTCTTATAAATTACTGTGAACCCCAAACCGCTTTTGTTTATGTGTTAATTGTATTTAACCTATTAGCAATTTAAAATGAATTTTAAAAGATATGAATTTATTTAAAATAATCTATTTTATTCATCGATGAAGGTGGTCAAAAGGTACAAACTCCCAGTGATAAAATAAATAAGTCCTGGGATATAATGTACAGCATGGTGACTACGGTTAATAATACTGTGTTGTATATTTGAAAGTTGCTAAAGGAGTAGATCTTAACAGTTCTCATCACAAGGAAAAAAATTTTGTAGTGATCATTTCACAATATGTACAAATATTGAAGCATTATTGCTGATTTTAAAAACTTTTTCATAAATGCATGTTTTTCTTCATATTTTTGGGACTTGCTATTTTCATGTTTTTTGAGGTTATTTATATAGAGATCTAAAGAACATACAGATCTTTCCCTTTCTTTTAAACAGCATGATTTCTAAAGTGTAGATATTACAAGCTTTTGTTTAGCTATTTCATATGTTCAGAGGTAGATAGATAGATAGGTAAATTTCACATCCTTCTACTTCCTGAGTCACATGTACGTTCAACGTTCATTTTTCTTAGCGCTCTCCTCAGAGACCCATGTAGCTGCTGCTGACACTTACAAGAGGTGCACAAAATAGAAATTATTCTGCAGAAAACTTTGAATTTCCTTTTCATGATTTGAGGGAAAAGGGCAGTACTTTGAAGCATCCTATATGTATATGGTGAACTGAGGATTGAGGTATTTTGTTACTGTCAATGTTGGCAGGTTATATAGGCCAACAAGTTGGGGGGCTGTTTTGGTGGCCGTTACTGCGCTTGTTCCTCCTTCCTCTTCTGCAACCTCACTCCTGCTCTCTCATCTAGTAGACATTTGAAGCAGCTAGCATGAAGCAAGTATGGTTTTATTTCCTGGTTTGCTGGCCTGGAACTCCCAGTCCGTGGGGTGCACAACTTCAAGAGATAAATTATAACATGGTGTTCAGTGTCACAATATAGATAATGACAGCTAGTGGAGACATGCAGATTTAAGTAATTAACTTCCTGTAAAGTTCATTTATTCATTCATTCAATAAATACTTGAATACTTACTATGTGTTAGGCTGAAGATATAATGGTCAATAAGATAGGGCTTCCCTGGTGGCGCAGTGGTTGAGAGTTCGCCTGCCGATGCAGGGCACACGGGTTCGTGCCTCGGTCCGGGAGGATCCCACATGCCACGGAGCGGCTGGGCCCGTGAGCCATGGCCGCTGAACCTGCGTGTCCGGAGCCTGTGCTCCGCAACGGGAGAGGCCAAGGCAGTGAGAGGCCCGCGTACCACAAAAACAAAAACAAAAACAAGACAAACGTGATTGCTGCTGTGGCCATTGGGTCTTGAAGCATGAATAGAAGTATGGCAAATAGTAAATGGAGGGAGCACATGAAGTCTCTAGTCCATCCAAGGATTGTGAGGAGTTCTCTGTGTTAGGATTATAGGTTATATGAATGGGAGTGGCACATGCGGAGACTGGAAGGGTAGATTAGGGCTAATGTGACTGGGGCCAGTATGAACGTCAGATCAGGGAATTTGGATTTTTGTTTTTCTGTAAGACTTTAATGAGCCCACTGGCATTTTAAAAATGAGCGCTGAAATCCATGAGGTTTTGTATTTTACTGGTTGTATTTTGATTTAAAAGTACTCATTATTTAAATTAGTGATTTGATTCATTATAATGATCTGTCAATCTGCTAAGAATGTAATTGATGTATGTTAGCTGTTTTTTTTGTAATCGGGGATTGTTTTTGTTTCAGCCTTTACCCTACGAAAAGAAAATCTGGAAATGTTTGAAGCAGTTGGTTTTTTAGCTATCAAACTTGGAGTGATTCCTTCGGATTTTAGTTATGCAGGACTTAAAGACAAGAAAGCCATCACTTATCAAGCAATGGTTGTTAGAAAAGTGACACCAGAGAGGTAATAAGATGTTACTTTAAAGGACAGACTTTATTTTCTTATTGCATCAAAAACTCAGAATAATACTGGGAGCATATTAATCTCACTATCAATAGTAATTGATTACAGGCTTACTCAGCACATATTCTGCATTAATAGTATAATTATCTTCTAAATAGAGTTTTGTTGTTGAACAAAACAAAACTCTATTTAGAACTCTAAACTCTATTTAGAAACAAAACTCTATTGAACAACAAAACAAAACTCTATTTAGAAGATAATACATGTTTATTTAGAAGATAGTACATGTATTATTTAGAAGATAACACGTGTTTTTAGAAGAAATACATGTTTATTATAGAAGATTTAGAAAATAAAATAAAAAAGAAATTAAATGTCACAAAAAGTTATCTTACTCAGAAATAACCACAATAACATTTTGATCCATTTCCTTCCAGTCTTTTTTCAAATACTGTGCTACATACAGATGCTACAAAGCCATTTTTTACATATGTGAAAATCGCCCTGTGTGTGTAATTTATATTTTACTTATAAAAATAATTAGTATTCTTAATGAAAATTTATGTCATGAAATATTTCAGAGTCATGTTCATTATACAGACTAATTTATTTAACATTCCTCTGTTTTAGGACATAGAAATTTGTTCCAGTTTTTCACTGTAAATACTACTGTGATTAATATGATTGTACTTAAATCTGTGCCTTGTGGATACTTTCCTCAAGATAAAGTTCAGAAAGTTGAATCATTGAACCAGAATTCTGCCTAACTTGATATAATATTGATATATTAATCTTTAGTCATCAGATGTTTAAGTATTCACTACTTGCAGGTAGATGTTTCTAAGTTCTTATATGTGGGACAAAAAAAATTGTTTATGATTTTGTCTTTGTGGTCAAGAAGTGCAGTATAGTAAGAGAGAATGACTTTAGATGTTAAAAGGTATTTAGATGTTAAAAATTAGTTTTTAACCATCAAAGACAAAACAAGTTATTAGTTTCTAGGAGGAGCAGGTACTTTGATTTGGCTTATGGGTAGGGGATTTTAATTATCCATCAACTAACAGTAAGATTTTAGCAGATGCAGAAAATCTGAAGATAGTTTAGAGGGGCAGTAAGCTAAAAAGTCTGCCTAATAAAGCAGAGAGTTCCTGTAAGGACTACAGAAAATAAGATGTAAAGAAGAATTTACATCAGTTCTTACAGGATCTTAAAAGTTAGGCTAAGACAATTGGAATCTATTATTTAGATGTTGGTGAAAAATTGAAAATTTGAATAAGGAAGTGTTCAGAGCAGAATTTTAGGAAAATCCTCTGGCACTAGTGGTTTTTTGGTAACATTGGAGAAAGAGAGACTGAGGAGGAAAGGAGCAAAGTCTAAGGACAGGAAGAGCAGAGAACAGTTAAGAGGTTCTATCCCTTGAACTAAGAAGTCAGAAGGCTACATAGATAGAGTAGTAGCATTAGGTATATGTGTTCCAGTTCTTAAAATAACTCTTAATATGTTCCTATGATAAAGGGTTTTTAGTGTACATTTGTTGAAATAAATGAAAGATGTGTTTTTGAAATAGTTCCCCCAATTTTTGTTTTAGTATTCTGATACAAGTGGTTGTCTGCCAACTGTCATTTAAACTTTATTTAAACTAATTTTTTGACATTTTTAACATAATTTTTTAATGTTTAAGCATTTAAACTAATTTTTTAAATGTAAGATTTAACTGAGTCTGTATGATTTATCATTTATAGGTTGAAAAATATTGAAAAAGAAATTGAAAAGAAAAGAATGAATGTGTTTAATATTCGGTCTGTAGATGATTCCCTTAGACTCGGTCAGCTCAAAGGAAATCACTTTGATATTGTCATCAGAAATTTAAAAAATCAAATAAATGATTCTGCAAACCTGAGAGAGAGAATTTTGGAGGCAGTAGAAAATGTTAAGGTAAGAAAACTGCACTTTTTAAAAAAATTTATTTTTGGCTTAGTTGGGTCTTAGTTGCTGTACGCGGGATCTTTCATTGCGGCATGTGGGCTTCTCTCTAGTTGTGGCGCATGAGCTCTAGAGTGCACGGGCTCTCTAGTTGTGGTGAGCGGGCTTAGTTGCCCCACAGCAGGTGGGACCTTAGTTCCCCAACTAGGGATCAGACCCGTGTCCCGTGCATTGGAAGGCGGATTCTTAACCACTGGACTACCAAGGATGTCCCCAAACTGCACTTTAAAATAGAGTACTATAGGAAAATCTTTATAGTCCCTTCCTTTACATTGAGATAAGAAGGGAAATTTTTCTTTTTCTTTTGTACCTTTTTATTGCATGTATAATTATTTTTTAAAATGATAATTAGGGCCATTTGACTTATTTTTTTATTTTTCTTCTTAGTACACATTTTTGTATTGAAAAACACAACTTTAGTGTAATAAAAAAAAATTGTATAGTGTTCCTCAGTGTGGGGGTAAAAACTATCTGTATAAAAAGACAGATTTTTTTTTTTTTTAGTATCTGTCATATAGAGTAGTATTTCAGGCAAAGAGATTAATTTTGGGGGAAACTTTGTCTAGTAATTCTTTTCAGAAATCTTTGGCAAATAGTTTTTATATTACTTTTCAGAATCTTTTTTCTCTTCAGTCTAATTTTGAATTTTGTTTCAGTGCATACAAATGATAAATCATATACATATTGTCTTACAGTAAAAAAATTACTTACCATAAGTTTTTAAATGACATTTGCCAGGCATCTAAATATGCACATACAACCATAGCCTTCATTCTGATTATGTAGACTATGGGTTCAGCAAACTTTTTTCTGTAAAGGGCCAGATAATAAATATTTGTGGTTTTGTAGGCATATGGTCTCTGTTGCAGGTACTCTACTGCTGTTGTGTGGAAGCATCCATGGACAATATGTAAATGAATGAGCATGGCCATGTTCTAATAAAAACCTTGTTTACAAAAACAGGTGTTGGGCCAGATTTGACTTGTGGGCCAGTTAATAGCTTGCTAACTCCTGATCTAGACCCATAATGCTCAACCTGGGGTGCTTTTAAAACATTTCAGCAGTCTGTCTCTTCTCCCAAACCAATTAAATAAGAACATTTGGGGGCTTCCCTGATGGCGCAGTGGTTGAGAGTCCGCCTTCCGATGCAGGGGACACGGGTTCGTGCCCCGGTCTGGGAAGATCCCACATGCCGCGGAGTGGCTGGGCCCGTGAGCCATGGCCACTGAGCCTGCGCGTCCGGAGCCTGTGCTCTGCAACGGGAGAGGCCACAACTGTGAGAGGCCCACGTACTGCAAAAAAAAAAAAAAAAAAAAAAAATACATTTGGGGATGCAGCTTAGGCATTAGCATTTTAAAAAAAACTCCATAAGTGATTCTTCTCTACAGCTAACACTGAGAAACACAGATCTAAGTTTCTGACCACAAAGACCTTTTTACACAATTTTATGCCTTTCCAGCAGGAAAACAAACAAACAGAAATCAGGTTTTAATCAATGTCATGCCTAACAGGAAAATATCTTCCAACTAAAGATTTTTAAAATCTTTAAAATATACAGGCATTCCCTGATTATATACTTTTTATATGGTTGTTTTTTCCTTTTCTTCTAGACCTACCTAAGATTCTTTTTTTTTTTTTTTTCCCCTGATAAACTATTAAAAAGATATCCCTTAGAAAAGGGAGTGGGGTTTTCCGAACTCTGATAGCATTTATTGCCAGACTTTCATTTGGTATTTATGCATATACATTTTAAAATCCCCACTAGGAATAATCTTAGATTTAGCCAACTTTCCTTTAGCTCTCATGATGAGGGGAAGGAAGTTGAGAAGTCCTGAAAATAAGAAGTTTTTGGAGTTTTGTTTTAAAGGGTTATAAACCTTTTGTTATGTAACCAACCCTAAGTAATTTGGAGGGGTACTTAAAACTCTTCTGGTGTTTGGAGGATATTGTGTAATGTTATTTTTCCAAATTTGAAATAATTAGAAGTATTTAACTGTGAGATTTAATACAGGGAGTACTTATTCTATCTGCAGTTGATCTTTGTGGCATGAGGTCAGGACGCAGTTCCTTGTGCACCATGCTGATTACAAATTATCTTAGCATCTTTTATTGAACAGTCCTGGCGTTGATGCTTGATAATCATTGTTGAATGAATATATATTCCCCCATAAAGTGAGTGTAGAGAACTCTTTTGTCTTTCAAGAAACCATCTGGGCCTGGGGTTTGCTTTGTGAGAACATGTTTAACCACTGACCAATGTCTTTAATGGTTGCAGTGGTAAATTACAATTTTCTATTCCTGCTGAAGTGACTCCATGCCATTGCCTTGGCGCAGGCTTTCAGAAACTGAGATAATCGAAAAACGAACCATTATATATAAAGAAGCCAAGACTTGCTGGGTTTGAAAATAAATCTGCTTTGTATTTCAAGCATCTCCAGACAGCAGAAGTCTCAAAATCAGAGCTTGAGGGCAAAGTGCAGATCCAGTACTAGGTAACCAGTACATCCCAGTTTTCCCAGAACTTTCATGAGTTTAGCACCAAGAGTCCCACATTCCAGAAAACTCCTCAGTAATGTGAATGAAAAGCTGACATATTTTTAAAGATTTTTCACTTATTTCTAACTTCTAATCATTTGTTCTTTTCCTTTCTATATTTTAACTGTATAGTATTTCTCAGCCCATTTGGCATCCATGTGCGTATTGCCAATTACAAGATTCTTTTATTGAAATAAATACAAGAAAGACTTGATTACGTATTCCGACACAATAATTGTATTTATTTATCTTAGTTTGGGGCTATAACAAAGAACCATAGACTGGGTGATTTTTAAACAAGAGAAAATTACTTCTCATAGTTCTGGAGGCTGGAAGCCTAAGATCAGGGTTCCTGCCCGGTCTTCTTATTGTATTCACACACTGCAGAAATAGAGTGGGCTAGTTCTACCACCATTTCTTATAAGGGCACTAATCCTATTCATGAGGGCTCTATCCTCATGACCTAATTACCTCCCCAAATCCCCACCTCCAAACACCATCAGATTGGAGGTTAGGATTTCAACATATGACTTTTGGTGGCTCACAGGCATGCGGTCCATAACAATATACTTTTAATTAATTGATTTTTTTTTGTATTTATAGAATAAAGGGTTTGTGAATTACTATGGACCACAGAGATTTGGGATGGGAAGGAAGGTTCACACAGACCAAATTGGATTGGCTTTGCTGAAGAGTGAAATGGTATGGATTCTTTAAAAGTATGGACTTAGCTGTTTTGTCAGTTGTCCTTACTACATAAGCCTGCTCCTTGCTTTCTTAACCCAGCATATAAAGGCAGCTATACCACCGCATACATATACCATACATTACATCATGTTTATTGAGCAGCCACTATATTCTTGGTATCACATTATAACAAAGCAAACTGTATGTGATGCCCCTTGTATTTAATACCTGCTTGAGACTAACAGGGACTTGACCAGCGCTCATCAAATTCTTAGTGAGCTGAATAGAGGATTTTGAGAAAGTTAAACCCTGATTCGAGAAATCTGGTATCAGATATTATGCAAGATAGGAATTTACCCAATGGCAGAGGCCAAGAGGAACAGCAAATTTGAAAAAGAAAATCTGGCTAGTTTCAAATGAAACTAAAAATGCATGTCACAAGCCACATTTGCCCAATTATTATATTATATATTTTTAAAATGTATGTTACATATATATAATTACATATTATATATACACACATATATTTTCACACTGATTACAGTATACATAATAGAGAAAACCCACAAAACTATGAAAATTATATATTTGAGCAAATGCAGTATTATTCATATAATAGTGTCATGCTTACTCATTTGTGTTCTGATATGTTTTCTTGAGTGGAAGAGAAAGGAACAGTAAAAGCACTTGTGAGAAGCATTGTGCATGTGAACATCATCTTACACATGGAAATAAGGTTGACAGCTGGTGATGTAGACCACATCTGCAAAACTGCAGTCAGTCTGGGCTTAACATTTCAGAGGGAGTTTAGCAAGTGGGATATAACTGATATGATAAAAGGGTCTAGAAACTGTATTGATGAGAAATGATTAACTGAAAAGTGTTTTTTCAGTCTAGAAAACTCTGAAGAGGAAATTAACTTATAAAGTATTGGAAATTTTGTCATATGGAAGAAGAATTTAATAGTTAGGGGTCTGAAGAATGCATCATGTGTTCTGTTTGAGTTCTGCCAGTTGTCTAATATGTCACTATAGGCAGGTTAATTAATTTTCCCAGCCTCAGTTTTCTTATCTGTAAAATGGACATAATACGTATTTTACAAGATGTTCGTGAGAAGTAAATGAGATAACTTTTGTGAAAGCACCTAGCGTAGTGTCAGGCTCATAGTAAGATGAATGTTCAAAAATATGATTAGACTGTTAATTGTCTGGTTTTAACAGTGGTAGAAATTCAGGGGGCCAAGTTTTAGCCTAGTGTAAGAAAGACTTTTCTAAGAGTTGTCCAAAGAAATGGGCTTCCTCCTCCGCCACGCCCCACCCCAAGAACTGGAAATTCCTCTTGCTATCATGACATTTAAACAAAAGCTGGCTGGCTACCCCTTCAATGGCTACCTCTTTCAAACTTCATATTCCATGCTCCTAATTATTTGTAAACTTGCTAGACTATTGGTTATCAATTATTTCTGTGGAACAAATTACCCCAAAACTTAGTGTATTAAAACCACAAGCATTTATTATCTCACTATTTCTGAGGATCAGGAATCTGGGAGCAGCTTAGCTGGGCATTTTTGCATCAGGGTCTCTCATGCATTTGCAGTTATCTATCAGCCTGGGTGGTCTCTGAAAACTTGAGTGGGTACCAAGGATCTACATCCAAGCTCACTCTCATGGTTGTTGGCAGGAACCTTGAGTTTCTTGACATAGTGGTACTCGTGGCATGGCTTTCCCCAGAGAGAGGAGTCCAAGAGCACAAAAGAGAGAGAGAGAGAGAGAGACCACAACAGAGAGAGAGAGGGAGACCACAACAGAAACCTCATGGATAACCAACAAGCACCTACTGTATAGCACAGAGAACTCTGCTCAATATTATGGAATAACCTAAATGGGGAAAGAATTTGAAAAAGAATAGATACATGTATATGTATAGCTGTATCACTTTGCTGTACACCTGAAACTATCACAACATTGTTAGTCAACTGTACTCTGACATAAAATAAAAAGTTTAAAAAAAGTAGGGTCATATATCTCTTTTTTTTTTTTGCGGTACGTGGGCCTCTCACTGTTGTGGCCTCTGCCATTGCGGAGCACAGGCTCCGGATGCGCAGGCTCAGCGGCCATGGCTCACGGGCCCAGCCGCTCCGCGGCATGTGGGATCTTCCCGGACGGGGGCATGAACCCATGTCCCCTGCATCGGCAGGTGGACTCTCAACCACTGCGCCACCAGGGAAGCCCGGTCATATATCTCTTGACACGCTCTCTTTGCTAAAGGAAATAGAATATTCCTTCAGAGAAATGAAATGAGAAAAAAGTTGCAGTTTGGTAAAATGGAGGGGAGTAATTCCTTTTCAGAGGATACAGTTTTTAGCCTCATAAAAGTTCTTTAAAAATAGAGCATTTATTCTTTTCTTCATTCATTCATACTCAATAAATATTCATTGAATAAAAAAAGAAAAAAGAAACTTCAGTGTCTTTCATAGCCTAACCTTGGGAGGGACAGACCTTCACTACTTCCGTATTCCACGGTCATGCCAACCCTGATGAGTGTGGGAGAGGACTGCCCAGGCGTGAGCACCAAGTGCTTGAGACCATTGGGGCTGTCTTAGAGGCTGGCTCCCACAGCTGGAAAGGCAGATTTTTTTTTTTCCTTTTGCTTGAATTACGCCCTCCCCAACCTTTACATTCCTTATGTCTCAATTTAAATTTTCATCCCACTACCCAAGGATTAGTGAATTCCCCTTATCTTGTGACTGCACAGCCTCCTAGACTTCCCATTTCAGGTTTGATTACATTTTATAATCATTGCTTATTTAATCTTTTCCAGTAAACAGAGACCACAAGTCTCTTGCTCAACACTCTATCCCTGGTATCTCCACAGTGCCTAGCACATGGCAGATGCTTAATAGTATTTGTTTGAATGAATGAATAATGTTAACAGAAGAATGAGTGGGAGATTTGGTTGCTTGACCTATTTTAAGATCCTTTCCGGGCTTCCCTGGTGGCGCAGTGGTTGAGAGTCCGCCTGCCGATGCAGGGGACACAGGTTCGTGCTCCGGTCCGGGAGGATCCCACATGCCACGGAGCAGCTGGGCCCGTGAGCCATGGCCGCTGAGCCTGCACGTCCGGAGCCTGTGCTCCGCAACGGGAGAGGCCACAACAGTGAGAGGCCCGCATACCTCAAAAAAAAAAAAAAAAAAAAGATCCTTTCCTACTCTAAGGCACATACTTAGAAATAAGTTGTGCTGGAGACAGTGATAAAATATAGGAACTAGTAGATACCTTTTTTTTTTTTTTTTTAAAAGGAGCATCCTTTAATCTATTTGGGTTTTAAAAGAAAACATTAGGGCTTCCCTAGTGGCGAAGTGGTTGAGAGTCCGCCTGCCGATGCAGGGGACACGGGTTTGCACCCCGGTCCGGGAAGATCCCACGTGCCGCGGAGCGGCTGGGCCCGTGAGCCATGGCCGCTGAGCCTGCGCGTCCGGAGCCTGTGCTCCGCAACGGGAGAGGCCACAACAGTGAGAAGCCCGTGCACAGCAAGCAAAAAAAAAAAAAAAACATTAAAGTTGGCAATTTTTAAAAATGACTGGCAATTAGTTTTAAGACCACAGAATTCTGAGACTTGAGAACACAAATGAAATTAGTGGCTTGCCATTCCCCTATGCTTGTTCCTTCCCTTATTTTTGTTGTGTATTTTTGTTGGCTAAGTCTTGAGTTTTATGTCATCACTTAATACTTGTGTTCATAGTTCGATGATAGAGGCAAAGAATGACAGAAGAAGAACTGTGGAAGTGGTGGGGGAGCACTTTTCCAGTCCATAATATTTTAAACCTATGTATCAGGTTGCTTTGTACAGGAGGTTAATTCTAAATTTAACATTGTTTAACTTTTGAACACTTAAAGACAAAATTGCCACGTAAAATATCATGTTAAATGCTTATTCTTGTTCCTTTGTTAAATGTCTGGCATTTGTTAGATGTCAGACAATTTGTACCTTTTTAAAAAAAGTAAGTAAGTTTTCATTTTCATTTAACACGTTTGCTTGTTTGGTTTTTAAAGGTGAAGGCTGTACAATTATTTCTTACACCAGAAGAATTGGATGATCCTGTAAATAGAGCAAAGAAATATTTTCTTCAGACTGGTACTTAAAAAGTTTCTTTACCCCATACATAACCATGCAGATACATAATATAAGTGTTATGTCAGCAGGAGGGCATTCATTACAACATAAATATGATAAGAAATAGACTGTAATATATTGTATATTAAAGCATTTTTATTACGTGCCCTAGGCACTCCATTTTTGGCCAGATCTCTGGGATTTTTGTCTGTTCTAATTCTTGCTTGGAGGTAGGGGTGAGGGAAAAGATGCTGAGTTTTTCTTGGCCTAAATCCTCGAAGGATTTAGGTATTGATGGAAGTATAATTCACTACAATCAGAGGAGACTGAAAAAATAAACTAAATAAAAGTACATTTGTTATATCTGATACTTTGTGCATTGTTTTTGATCTAGTTGCCATTTAGCCCTGATTGCTGATTTTGAAAACTTTAGCCCAATATATGTAGAATGCTTAATGAGAAGCACTAAAAGAAAGTTGTTACGAGTGTGGGTTCTAGAGTCAATCTACGTGGGTTTAGCTCTCAACTTTAGTACTTCACAGCTGTACAGTCTTGTGCAAGTCATTTAGTTTCATTCTTTTAGTTTCTTCATCTGCAAACTGAAGCTAATAATGGTACCTAAAAGACTGTCATGAGATTTAAATAAGATAATAGATATAATGCTTTTAATATAGTGCCTGGCACGTTCTGAATACTGAATAAATATTACTTGTATTTAAACAATAACGGCAACTGTAGCATTTTAGAGTCATTCAAATATATGATCGATATATACGTGCATATTGAATTTCACTTACATTGAAATAAAGGACATCAGTTTTCAAATATCTCCATTCATTGTTTTAAATTATGTACATAGTACCTATATGTAATGATTCATAGGAGAAAAATATTTTTATGCCGCACCAGAATCTGTAAATAGTGTGAGCATTTCAAATCGTTATGAGTAATCTAAGTAATACTAAGGAAAATTCAAAATTGCATCTGTTGTAGGGTCCTGAGAAAATAATTTCCTTTTGGCAATGATTCTTAAACTTTAGCGTGCTTAAGAAACCTGGTGCATTTATTAAAATGTGGAATCCAAGGCCCTACCTGAATGACCATCTTTGCCATGGAGTCCAGTAACCTAGTTTTAAAAAGCCTCCTACTATCAAGACCTAATAGTACACTTGAAGGATCCAGATGTCAACCCTTTCGTATTCAAAAAATTCTGTGTAAAATGTCTGTAATAGCTCTTTAAAAATCTCTAAGCTCAGGGGTTTATGTAATGCTTTTAAAAAAAAAAAGTCCTCTAAATAACTGCAAATTAGTTTATCTCCATCCTGAAGTTGGAGTTACTAATGTTGTGCTCTTTTTAAAGCAGGGAAAGTGATTGAGCCATATGATGAATGATCTTTATTAAAAACAAACAAACAAAACACCTCTTCAGGTGTAGCTCTGGTTTATAGTTGGTGCTGAGCATCATCTTCATATTCAGGTTCCCAGGATAGCTCAGTTCATTTAGAGAGCGTGGTAAAGGTCTTAATAACTGGCCTTTAAATAAAAATGACTAACTGATCTTCGCTTTATTCAGAGGATGCTAAAGGCACACTTTCACTGATGCCTGAATTCAAAGTTCGGGAGAGAGCATTGTTGGAGTCCTTGCATCGCTTTGGCGTGACAGAGGAGGGCTGTATCCAGGCGTGGTTCTCTTTCCCCCATTCCATGCGCATATTCTATGTTCATGCATATAGCAGCAAAATCTGGAATGAGGCAGTATCTTACAGACTTGCAACCTATGGATCAAGAGTGGTGGAGGGTGATTTGGTCTGTTTGGATGAAGATATTGATGATGAGCATTTACCAAGTAGTAAAGTAAGTGTCATTTCATCAAGAGTAGTTACCACACCAGGAATACTAATTTTCAGAAGCCCTTATTTTAGAAACAATTTAAAACTAAACATGCTCTTCTTCTTTTTTTAACTTATATTTGCTCATCTCCTGCTTCTACTCTGCTGTCAGCTGACGCTTAACATCTATTGAATGGAAAAATAAAAATAGTTAGTGGTATGAAATGAAAGTTACAAAGATAGTAAACCTTCCTTTAAAGAACACATTCTTTAGAATAAGATTTTTATAATAATGGTATATAGGGTATGTAATGTCATGTGCGTTTCTTTTATATAGGTGCGATTTTACAACTTGCTTTTTCCCCTCTTAACAGTATCTTAGAGGCATTTATATTAATGAAATATAATTTTGTATTATAAAAATTGATCCATTTCCTCCCCATCCAACTAGTATTTTTATAGTATTTTAATCTCTGTGGGATTGAACTAAATAATGAAATTTAATTCCGTAAATCATGTAAGGAAATTTATTTTATAGTATTGTAATGCAAAAAGAGCAGACTATTCTCCATCATTATCTTAATTCAGTCTCACAAATATATTTTTAAAATTAATGAAGGGATTTGAGTAGTGCTTTTGTATATAACATCATAAAATCATTGACCTTTAGAGGACAAAAAGATTTTAGAGACCCTCTTTTCTAATTCCCATTGTATAGAAATGAAATTGAGACCCAGGCTGGAGAGGAGACAGATTAAGTGACATAGGTAGCACTTAATCTGTTGTCTGATTCCTAGCCCAGATTAGTCTCTACTAGAGAAATTGTGGAGTGTAGAAAAGGTGTCAGCATCTAGAGATTGGGCATGGCCCAGTTTTTCAAAAATGGAGAAAAATAGACTGAACTTTCCATAAAGGAAGCTTGTTCTAAATTAATGGCAGAGTTCTAGATGTATGAATTAAGGATTTTTTTGGTTTCAAGTGATGGAAACCCACCTCAGACTAACTTAAGGAAAACAGACAGGAGTTTCTTGGCCCTCATAACTAAAAGCGCATGATTGATTCAGGCACAGCTGTATCAAGGGGCTTAAGCAGTGTCCTAAATCATCCATCTCATTTGCTTTATCTTGCAGCTCTGCTTTCCTCTCTGTTAGATCCATTCTCAGTTTCTTCTCCAGAAAAGAGGGCTTTTCTTTCCCAACAGTTTCAATCAAAGCCATGGAATTGAGCCTCAGTGGCTAGGAATGGCTTGGCTTGGGTCACACGTCCCCAGACCAGTTATTGTGGACTGGAGTATGTGATTGACAAAACCTATGTTCCAAGGGCTCCTTCCTGGAACCATCCCATCCAAACCACATTTAAGAACTGGGAGGAAAGCTCCCAGGAAAACGCAGGTGCACTACCAGAAAAGAGAGAGTAAAGGCTGAGTGATGAGTGAGCCAGAACAAAGATGTCTGCTTTACTATTTTATTAAATGAATGGCTTATGAATATTTAGATAAAGTGATCACTAAGAGCATAAATCATTAAGAATGGTCATTTAACTGAGACACAGACTCTGAAACCGTTTAAGAAAAAATCTAGCAGCATCGTAGGTTTTATTTTACCTCATATGAGTGGAAGAAGAGATATGTCAGTTGATTCCATTTTGATAAATAATGAAAAAAGCACAAGTTTTTTAACACCTTTCAGAAAACATGTCCGTTTAAATATTACCTAGGCAACACATTATTTAGTAGGTCAGCCATTTCTAATTCAGAGTTTCAGAAGTTAAAGGTTACTTTGACAAAATATAACAATAATCTCTGAAATGCATGTGTCTTATACGACTTCTTTGTTCCATGTAACATTTGCACGGATAGTTTTGTGATCAGGATTGAATCTGCTTTTCTTTCAGGAGATGTAGTAGAAAAGAGAATATTTTCTCCTTTACATTTTGCAGAGTTTCCTTTTATTAGCAGCAAAAAGTGTCTATATTTTTAAGATCAATCATTTATACTTTATTAGTTAGCACTGAGAAAAGAAAAGGCAGGAACTGGAGTCTCAAGACGTAAAATATGTATAACTGAATCACTTTGCTGTACACCTGAAACTAACACAGCATTGTTAATCAACTCTACTCCAATATAAAATAAAAAGTTAAAGAAAAAAACCAAAATAAAACCAAAAAAAGACATAAAATATGAAAAGGAAAAAGACACACTAATATTTCTAATAAATGGTATATAGAACATGTCATGTTGTGCATCTACATTAAAAATTGTAGGAAACTGAGTCCCTTTTTGATAGAATTACTAGGACTACCTATATATCTTAATTTCAAGTGACTTGGCAGATTGTCGTATAGTTTTTTTGTGAACAAGATGGAGAAATGTGAGTTAGACTATGAGAATGGTGAATTCATCTTTGCAGAGCAGCCATACAGCAAAATCATGTTCGTTAATTTATTGATTGATATCAACCTGGAGGGAGTTCTCTAAAGACAAAACATGGTACTCTGTACTTGACCATGTTTGTTCAGTATTTTCATAAATTACTTAAATTGCAGCATTGTAGGTATGCTTATGAATTTGTGAAAGACAAAAAGCTGGAAGTAATGATGCAAGAGAGATCGTAGCCCCATGTATTTGGTCAGATCACATCTGGAGTGTTATGTCCATTTCTGAGTGCAGCAGTTAAAATGGGTTATTTACATGTAAACAAACAAATAAACCCAAAATGGAAAAACGAAAAAGGAGAGACATTATTGATAAGAGTAGGGAGAATTGGGAAAGCAAGCAGGTTTAGAGAAGATCTAGACATTATATTATATGATGAATGCTTTAGGAAAATGAGGCTGTTGTAATCCTCATGGAATGATGACAGCTGCCTTTATACTTGAGCTTTCATGTGCCCGAGAAATCAGAATTATTCTCTGTCCTAGAGCAACATTTCTCAAACGTAGCTTATCACTCACCTCTTTTTTTTTTTGCCTCGTATGTGTGACACCTATTACTAGTCTATGAAACGCATTTTGAGAAGCACTACTTCTCATAGATTATTATGACATTTGTTAGGGACAGAGGTTGGGTGGTCTCACAGAGGCAGATTCTTGATTCAGCATAGTAAGAAAAAACAACTTTGCAGTTTAGAAAAAGATCGTTGGTAACTGAGGTGAATGTGTTGCTTCAGAGTGTTAGCTGCCCAACATTCTCTGTGTATTTCCATGGAGTTATCAGGGCTTAAAGCAGGAAGAATCATTCTAATTTTTAAGTAGTCTACTCCTCTGGAAAGAAATTGTGAAAAGATCTTGTTTGGGTATGTGTATATTCAGCTAAGGAGTCAAATTGTACATAACAGAGTTAGGGAAAATTGAGGGAATTTGGAACATTTGAAAATCATCTGTACTTTCATCATGTTTTTAAACAATAGGTTCATCTAGTAACTGAAGAAGAGGAATCAGCTAATGCATATGCAATACATCAGGTAAACTTGCTTAAAAATTAGTATCATTTAGATCTAAATGTACACATTGTGCCCAAAAGACAATATATATTAACCAGTTCCCTTCCTTGCTCCTTTTTTTTACCACTTTTAATTCAGTTATAATTTATATAATAAAATTCACTCTTCTCAGTTTACAGTTCTGCAAGTTTTGATATACGTATAAAGTCATATGACCACCACAAAAATCAAGATAAAGAACAGTTTCATGTCTCCCCCAAACTTCCTGTGCCCCTTTGTAGCCACCCCACCCCTGCCCCAGCCCTGACTCAGCTCTTTTCTGTTCTATGGTTTTGCCTTTGAAAGAGTATCATAGAAATGGAATCATATAGTTTATGGCCTTTTGTGTCTGGCCTCTTTCAGTGAGCATAACGAATATGAAATTCAGTCATGTTGTGTGTATTTGAGTTTTTTACCTTGTTCCTTTTTCTGACTACCTTTTGGCTGCGTTGGGTCTTCCTTGCTGTGCGCAGCTTTCCTCTAGTTGTGGCGAGCGGGGTCTACTCTTCGTTGCGGTGCACGGGCTTCTCATTGCAGTGGCTTCTCGTTGCGGAGCACAGGCTCAAGGCACGTGGGCTTCAGTAGTTGTGGCACGTGGCTCGGTAGTTGTGGTTCGCGGGCTCTAGAGTGCAGGCTCAGTAGTTGTGGCTCATGGGCTTAGTTGCTCCACGGCATGTGGGATCTTCCCGGACCAGGGCTCGAACCCATGTCCCCTGCATTGGCAGGCGGATTCTTAACCACTGTGCCACCAGAGAAGCCCCATGTTTTTAAATAAGTAAGAGAAATGTAAAATTAGCAGCCAAAATACCAGTTACGTGATTGAGTAGTAAAGGCTATTCTTTGTGTTCCGGAAAGAATATGCTTTTAGGATTCTATAACTGCACAAAGATGAAGTCTGTTGGCTAATTAAGTGTACCTCAACTTCTTGTTTCATCTCTTCTACATTAACAGCAGTTTGTCTAATAATATCCGACTTGAGTTGGTTGCCTTGGTAATTGAGTCCTTTTTTTTTTTTAGATATACCATGCAAACACAATATTTATTTATTTAGTTATTATCATTATTTATTTATTTTTGGCTGTGCTGGGTCTTTGTCGCGGTGTGTGGGCTTCTCTAGTTGTGGCATGAGGGTTCCAGAGTGTGTGGGCTCTGTAGTTTGTGACACGAGGGCTCCCTTGTTGAGGCATGCAAGCTTGGTAGTTGTGGCGCGGGCTTAGTTGCTCTGCAGCATGTGGGATCTTAGTTCCCCGACCAGGGATCGAACCTGTGTCTCTTACGTTGGAAGGCGGATTCTTAACCACTGGACCACCAGGGAAGTCCTTTAAGAGTCCTTCTTGATTTTAGTTGGCTCTTCTCTTTTCTGGGCAGCGTTAAAAAGAATCAAAGTAGTGTAATACTCAATAGCATGTTTTAGGCTGATTGTAATGTTGATATCCTGAGTCTGTTTTTACAGATCCAGGTCCCAGTCATAAAAGTAAATTTAAAATATGATCAAATATTTTTCCGAAGGCTGTTTCACGTATCTTTTATTTTCCCTTTCATTGCACAGGTGGTTCTTCCAGTGCTTGGATACAATATTCAGTACCCAAAGAACAAACTAGGGAAGTGGTACCAGGAAGTACTCAGCAGAGATGGACTACAGACATGTAGATTTAAAATACCTACTCTGAAACTGAATGTTCCAGGATGCTATAGAAAGATTTTGAAACATCCCTGTAATCTCTCATACCAACTAATAGAAGACCATGATATTGATGTCACGAAGGAAGGTTCCCACATCGATGAAGCAACTTTATCTCTTTTGATCTCTTTTGATCTTGACGCTTCGTGTTATGCTACCATTTGTCTGAGGGAAATAATGAAGCATGACTTTTAAAACTGATCCCCTTAATATAATCGTGTATGTGCCACTTTTTAAAGGAAAGGGAGCTAAAGTTTCTTGGGCATCTACCATGTGCTAGGAGCATTATAACTGTTATCTCCTTTAATTACACAACATCCTGATGAAGTAGGAATTTGATACTAACATTCCAGAGGACGGATAGCTAGTAAGTGGCAGCATCTGAGTTGAAGACTCCAAAGCCTTTGTTCTTTCTATTATCTAATATCTCGGTGACCTTTAGTCTGTGCTATAAAAGTTAGTCTTTCTGGACTGTTAGGAGCATATAATACTGCAGGATGACATTAAAGAAGATAACATTAAAGAAAAACATTTTTGGAGTAATGTTTATATCCTCAAGCTCCTTGCTTAGAATGTAGATGAAACTAGGTTGTAATGAAAACAGGGTTGGAAAGATAGATGAAGCATTTTGTTAATTATTGCCATTCTCTCCTATTTTTGAAATTATTGATCAGAACAGTACATTAGGAAAATATAATCCCTCTATTTATGATAGCTACCCCAGGGTAGTTTACCCCTTTATGAGGTAAATAATCTTTGATGAAGATTGAAATAAAATTTTTCCTACAGTTTCTTTATCTTGACATATATTGACCCTCCACTTTTTTGTTATTTTTGTTCTATCATCTAAAACATAAATTTTTAGAGTCAGGCTGATCTGTGCTCAGACTCCAGCTCTGACACTTACTAGTGACTGAGTGTTATTGATTCTTTTTGAGGCTCATTTAAGGAATCAAGATAGCACCAGTCTCATAAGCAGCAAACAATAGAATTATCTCCACCTTTTTACGTTGCTGGAGGAAGAAAAACATTTTACCCATTTTGAAAAGTCTGTATTTGTTGGTTTAACTATCCCACATCACAAACTATCCTTATCTACTTTACATCAGGTACATTTGGGGGGAAATGGGATATACTGATTGGGAAAATCTGAGCATTCTTTTATTGCTGGTAGCATTACATAATGACTTAAAAAGCTGTCAAGAGTATTATATATTAGTAATGTGGCACTTTTATATACTTAAGCCAGTCAAACCATTTTGGGTATATTAGCATAAGGAAATAAAATTCCAAAGAAGGAAAAAAACTGTATGCAATGCAAAATTTGCTTAGTGCAGCATTCCTATATATATAGAAAGAAATTAGAAACAGTTTGGAAGTCCAGCATTAGCTAACTAAAAGTAAAATGAGATGTAACAACTTGATGGCAAAACATTTAGTTATTAAAGTTGATGATGAAGGTTTTAGGTATGTGAGAAAATGTTGCCCCACAAAACCATGTATATATATATTTAACCATATATATAAAACACAAATGCAGTATATACACTGCATGCAGCTTTTACACAGGAGAGGCACTTGAGCATAGTGATTAAAAGCTTAGATACTGGGGACAGACTCCCCTAGTTTGAAGCTTGCCTCTGCCACTTAGAGCAGTGTGGCCTTGGACAAGTTGTTTAAGCTTTGTGTGTTTCAGTTTCAACATCTGTAAAGCAGGGATGGTAATAAACCTACCTCTTAGGATTATTGTGATGATTTGCCGAGTTAATATATGTAAAGCAGCTTAGAAAAGTGCCTAGCATTTAGTGATTGTTAAATCAATGTCCACAGATGCAAGTTAGGAAGGGACCAGAAAAAAATGAAAATGCCATTCTGTTAAGATCGTAGAATGTTTGGAATTTTTTTAATACTAGAAAGTTCCTCTTTTGTCTCTATATATTTTAATAATAAACAAATTCAGGACACAAAACTTTCAGATTGTGGTACCATGGATTTTAAAAATTACTTTTATTGCCTTAATATTTATCGAAAATGAAATGATGCTATATTAAATAGTAAAAAAATTTAGAAATGATGTCTTAACTTTATTTTATATGATAAATTATATCCTATAAATGTAATCAGAAAGTGAATTACTAAATAATTAAATCCCAGTTTTCTTTTAATCATTGGGTAGCAATTAGAAAATATGAAATCATTAAAAATGTGCCATCATTGATAGTATTTTCTTTGCCTGTAGATGGCACTATAATTTTAGGTATCTTTCTAATTTATTAATTTAGTACTTTGGCCCTGTGTAAAGAAAGGATCACTAAAGTTATTTCAGGTCACCATAAAATGTATTCAGATACTGTTCATGTGAAAAATTATTTTATATACTAATAATATTTGCCACGTTAATTTTTTTTTTTTCAGTAAGGACTTGAATAGACTTTGGACCAAATGATGAGCAGTCACCTAAGTTTTTGCAGTTTTTCTGGAGCATTTCAGGCTTTCAGAAGAAGAATCTTTGGATTAGCTTTAATTTTCAGCGTTGCATTTGAAACTGAGCAATAGTGCCTCAGGATTACTAAGGTAAAACAAATGGAGGTCTTTTTATTAAGATAAAAACACTTGGATTTTTGTAAGTTGTAATAAACTGAAGCCATATGCAACTTTGACCCAAGTAACATTTTTTCTGAGTGTTGTGCCAGTCCTCTCATTGTAATCCATGTACCCACCCTGTAGGTGGGTAGTGTTTTCCCTGTTTTTGCAAATCAGAAAATATTTGAGGGTTTACTGACCTATTCAAGGTCAAACAAGATGCTATTTGGGAACTTGATTATGCTTCCTAGAGCAGTACTGCTTTCATCTACCTAATATTTGCCTTCTGAAAACAAAATTTTTGGTTAATAATTTCTATTTCTACCAACTTATTTCTTGATATCGATTAATAGGCATATTGGAGCAGGTCTTGAGAGAAACGAGATTCTTTTTGAGGTTTTGAAACCAAATAAAAGTAAAGGAGATCGTTTAGGAAATTTCCAAAGCATTTTGGGGTATTTTCCAGAACACTTTGGGACTTGTATCTCAATGATGGGCAACATCATTATAGGTCATAGAGGGTTACTTTAGATGATACCTGGTACAATATTAAATATCACTGAAAAAGTTCAGTGAGAGGATTGTTTATTCCCCCTCTCCCCCTGCCCCCGATACTCTTTTAATCTTTTAATCAACCATTCTGTTTAAGACAAGGAGAAAGCTGGCTGAAATAAGTTTACGTATATCACTTGCTGGATTTACCTTTTTAACAGAGATTGTGCAGGCCTGAGGCTCAGGAATACCAGCAAGCAACAATATCTAACTAGAATTTCATAATACTGCTTTGTTTTATTGAGTTTATGTTTCTAGTTACCTTTTTTTATGGCAAATAATGTTGGTTTTCAACTTATGTGATGTTTCTTTCAAAAATAAATTTTAAAATGAGGAACTCAGTGTAAAGGTAATAAGGAACTACTAGTATAGATATAACAGTAATTATGACAGCAGTACATGAATGATTGAAGTTTGGGAAATAGTGAGAGTACCTGAACTCAGAGAGTGCCTCTACCACTGCAGTAGGGTGTCCCTTTAGTAACCCACTGAATTTCTCTGTTGTGATCTCAGGTGTGAAGTAATGTTAGTAATCATTTTTCAGTCCAGGACTGTACTGCATCAAACAAAATAATGAAAAATACACAAATGCAAGATACTATGAACACAAGTACTAATGATCACATGCCATATCTTAAAATTTCACTGATAGGGATTTTCTTTTAGAAAATCTTATGAAACACCAAGAACAGTGCCCAGCACCTAGTAAATTCTCGATAAGTGTCAGCTTGTGTTATTATAGTTAATATTACTTTACTGTGCTCTCTGATGAAAGTTTTACAGTTGAATGGTTAATGAATTTCCCTTGAGATCTGATCTGACTCTATCTTAGCATAAAGTAATTACAATTCAGCACACTTTTATTTATTTTTTTGTAAGTGGAAAGAACTATGTATTTCTAAATCTGGGAATTCAGCAGTTCATTCAAATTTAGATCTTTAAGAACTATCTAGGTCAGTGTGCCTCAATATTTTCCACCTGGGAACTACCCTTAAGAGACCAAGAAGAAATGAAGCTGCATATAACAGTGCAGAATTTTCTTGTGTTAATGTCAGGATAGGAGAAGAGGTTGGAGGGAGGAGACATAGGGAGTAAGAGAAATAGGACTTTTCATTTTTTTATTTACTTCTGAAATGTTTGGGTATTTAAATAAGAATACATTTGTATATTAATTTTGCAATTAATTAAAGAATACTTGAAGAATACTGAAGCTTCAGAGAGGGTAAGGTAAGGGAACTGATGGATTATGATTGCATTTTTTTCAGAATGGTTCTGGTGGGTCATGCCAACGTACTGCCAGAGAGAGAAATTTCTGCATTGTACAATGGCGGTTAATATAAGTAAAGTTTAGTACCTGTGCCATGGATTTTGCTTTCAGATTCAGAAAGATTCTTACAAATAGCTTGATGTCTTATGGTACTGTTTTAATCTTTTTTTTTTCCTAAGCCCTTCTGCTTTACGTATTTCTGATAAGCCACAAAGCAATGCCAAATATATGACATAATAATCCACAGACATTTGAATGCCCCTAAGTTAAAGGCACTCTGTAAGATGCTATGGGGAAAGACAAACAGATAATATCCCTGACTTTGAGGGATTAACAGTGTTATGTCCTTGAAGATATCATTTTATTTGAAATGCCATCTGGAAAAAGAGTATACAGACCACTAGATGGCGAAGGGAAAAACAAGCAGCATCTTTGCATTTCACTTATGGCTCACTGTATGACGAATAATAGGTTTCTTGACCTCTCAGCACCTCATTCTGAATCTTTAAATGATACCTATATTAGCATCTCCACGCATTTTGAGATCTCCTCTTAAAATATGCTTTGAAGTATTCAGTCTAAATGCTGCTTTCTCGAAAGCTATAGTTTAAAGAACGGGAAATGGTGTTAGCAGAGTTAATCTTGTGTAATTTCAGTGTGGGTTGTCAGGAATACCTTTAAGTAAAGAAAATGACTCTAATCTTCTTAAGCAATTCGTTTTCTCAGCAACTGGGAGGCAGGAGCTAATTTACTCTGCCTGTGTACACAGGACTGTCTTATTAAAAGAAAATTTTACTCATGGAGAGAAGTCACAATACCCATGAAATTATTTATATTTAGACATTGGAAAATGTGGCAAAATATAAGAAACATTAAATTGTCTTTTCTGTATCAGTTTCCTTCCTAAATACCCAACTCAATTACCAATATTTTCTGTTACAAAGAGGAAATTTAATCATGGAGTTGAAACAAGAGCTATTTGGTTGTTTTTAAAGGGAGGAGAACAAAGAGCTGGTCACTCACTCCTTAGCTGAGGGTGTTTGAGCAGCAAGATGGGTGGAGAGTGGAGAGGGTTAGGGACTTAGTTCTTTATGCTTTGATTCCAAGTCACCCTTTTCTGATAAGCCTTACTGGCATTTTCTTAGACTGGTTATGTCAGGATTCTGAAGCTTTCACTACAATAGGGTGTTAATCTTAGCTGATTATTGTTCCCATCCCCACCCCTGGTCGTAAAGGACTAGTGTTCTTTTCTGGAAAGGGAAGATGAAGACTCTTTCTATAAATAACCTTTATAGTTTCTTTAGATTATAATAAAATGTGTTTGTTTTTTTTTTTGCATATGATTTTCAAAAGGAAACTAATTTTTCCATAAAATATCTTAAGGGAAATCTAATAGATTTTATGGTATATAAATAATAGCAATGCACTTTTCACATTTAGGAACCAATAGAAGAACCAAGAAGCAGTTATTCTGGATTCAGAGAATATTCTTCCAAGGCATTGAAAGAGAAAACTTTAATTTCAAAGTGAAGCATTTGATGATTGTGTTTTTAATGTACATATTCTCTCTCGTTTTGATTGTTGTGATAATTTTCTAACTGACTGCCCTCATTCTTCACTCTAACTGGTCTATCTTTGTACATATACTCATGTCAGTTACCGCCCCCGCCCCCCAAAAAAAGAAGTAGAAATCTGATCCTGTCATTGTGTTGAGACCATATAACATTTCAGGGGCTTCCCAGTACCTATGGAATGAAAGTCCAGATTCCTAAACACAGCACATGTAGACATGTACAGCATGGTTTCAGATTATCTTTCAGATGTCATCTGCCTCTTACTTTGTAAAACATACCTTTTGGTTAAGTTCTGTTTGCTCCTTGCCAAATATAGCAAGTTTTCCCATGTTTTGTACCTCAACCTCCCATTCTCCATGGCAGAAAGTCCTCTCTGTTTAGGTTAAATAAATGTCTTGTCTGTGAAATCTGTGTTCTCATAACACTCATACTGTTCATATCATGTTATACTTATTTGATTGAATATCTGGCTCATCTACTACTAACTATTTAAGGGCATTCTTCTTTACACCTCAGGTACCCATCAGTGCCTGACATGTAGTAGGCTTAAAAATGCTGAATGAATACCACAAACACACCTTAGTAAAGTTACTTGGTAAATATATGTATCTCAGGAAAGTTCTAAAATAGCCTTTTACCCTCACAGAAAGTTTAGAGTATTAGAATTGGGACTCATTATAATGCCTTTCCACTTTTACATGAATTGCCAAAATAATTTTAATGGTTTCATCTTTGTCATCACTACCTGTAAGATGCCTACTTTTGATTTAAATATTAAATGCATTGTAGAATTTCACTTAACAACTCAGAACAAGCTGTCAGGGAATATAACCATTCTCATGTTACAAATGAAGATTCTAGGGCTTGAAGAGGTTAAGTAGCGCTTACCCTAGGTTGCAAAGAAAGTTTACCCTAGCTCTTTTTGTTTTCAAAGCCCATGGTGATAACTACTTTGCTCTGCTGATTCCTAATGCAAAATGCCTCAGTTCACTTTGCTTAACTAGTGATTATTTAATTTCTGCCCATCTCTGAATTTACCTGTATATTTCTAGTACTTTATGACATTAAGGCAACCTGGGGGAAGACTTACTAAGTGACAAAATGATAATGGCTGTTAATCATTGGGCACTATGTGCTTAGCATTTTACATCTTACCAATAAGCACTTATCTATGGGATAAGTACCATTACTTTTATTTTATAGATGAGGACACAGAGATAGAGTACAATTAAGAACCTTGAGAAGGGTGAAACATGGAGCCAGAGCTGAAACTCAGATGCTTTTTCTTACAGAATCCAGAGACTCTTAAGCCATGAACTTGGTTTGAAATTAAGTGGTAGTGACTCTGGTCATGTCACAGAGCCAACACAAATGTTCTCTTGAGGAAGTTGCCTTCATCCCAGGTTTCCCATACATGTTCAAAGACAGTAAGCAGCACAGAAAAAAAAAAAAGCAAGGCATCATGAATAAGTATCAGCAAAAACAAAAGACAATATAAATAGACCTGCAGGACTTCAGAATAATAGACATGGACTTCATGTTAACTATTTTTAAAGAAGTAAGAGATGACCTTGAAAATCTGCAGGGAACAAGAAGCTACAACACAATCTACTATATTTGAAAAAGAACCAACAGACTTTCTAGAAGTGAAAATGTAGTAATCAAAACTTAAAACTCATGAGTT